CAAACGTTTGTGCACGACCCATTGCGGACTCCCCAAATGCTTGCTTTAGGATTTCATAGGTTTCCGTAGCCGTTTTGGCGAGTCTTTGGCAAAATTTGATGCACACGCGCCATTCCGAAATCGCAGGAGGGTCGGTGTAATGCACTACCAAAACGCCCGTAACTAAGAAACAAATGCTAATTCGATGATGCCGGCTGGCACACTGATTCACTATGAATGTAGGCCGCACCCCCTAGCGGCAGAAACTCGTACTACATCCGGTTTGCCCTCTGTTGACAGTCTTGAAACTTTCCGATCGCACCTCGTATTTACGTCAAAAAATGAGTTTACAGGGAAAAACAAGCGAGAATCGGTCTAAGTTGTAACTTGACTTTCTGAAGTGGTTATCTTTTTGAATTTATACGCCACTGGGTTTCAGAAACATTCATTACTTTGCTACAAAAACCTTTGATCCATTGATCGTATCACGCATAAACTTCTTTCTAGAACGGGCAGTTTCATAATTTTCATTCTCTATCAAGATAAAAAAAATTTGATTTCGGATTTTAGCGTCTGAAGGCTCTGAGTACAAAGATGGCTGTCTTATGCGTTGTAGAGTTTACTCATCAAGCCCTGATGATGGAGGCAGTAAACACTTCTGAAACGTCGGTAAGTTTCTACCAGGCTACACGGCGTATCAACCAAAAAGAGAGCCATCTTGATTTTTATTTTTTATTATTATTTTTTTAAAAATTTATGGATGTTAAGCGAGAAGTAATATTTGGACAGAGAAAAGTACATTATGAGAAATATCATAATTTATATCTGCGTGGGTGATAAAATAAAGAATGATGGCGTTAGTCGGGCGTGTAGCATGCATGACTGATACGAGAAATGCATACAAAATTTTAGTCGAAGAGATGAGACAAATTTGGAAAATTAGATGTATTTGGGAGGATGATATTAAAATCGATTTTTTGAAGTGAGGTGTGAATATGTGGACTGATTCCAGGGTCCTTTGGTGGGCTCCTGTGAAGACGGTAATAAAATTTCTTGATTTTATAAAATCCCGAGAATTTCACGAACACGTGAGCGAATACTTCAGTTCAGTGAAAATTTCAACATAATAGGCCCGGTGCTCTTAAAACTGCAGGAAACAATAGATCTGTAAAAATTATATGAAAATAACGAAAAGAGATTTCAGTTCTCGCTAAATGTTGCAAGTCTTGGGAGACTCACACGTGGACCACGAATTTGTTCAAGATAAGATTAGCTTGATATCCGTTGACCCAGGTTTAAAGATTATTAAGACAGTCTGATGGTCACAACCGCAATGCACTTAAGTTAATAGCACTGTTATGCTCAGAATGTCTGTCTGTCTGTCTGTGCACTCCTACAAACCTATAAAACCTTAATTATTCGGTTCTTGTCCGTCTAATCACAATTCAAATTTAAAATTTACAATTAAGATAATTAAAATATCATTT